TTGCGATTTTCATTTCGCATTGCGATTTTCATTTCCGCATTGCGATTCTCTCGTTGCGATTTTCATTTCACATTGCAATTTTCATTTCGCATTGCGATTTTCATTTCCGTATTGCGATTTTCATGTTGGGATTTTCATTTCGCATTGCGATTCTCTCGTTGCGATTGTAATTTCCGTGTTGCGATAGTCAAATGCATGCCTAATAAGTGATAACAACTGAATAACAAGAGTTGGTTAAGTCAAAATGGTTGGCCTGAGTCATTAATTCAACTGAAAATGTTAAAAGTTCACACATAAAATCCACATAATACAACGTTTGCATTTAAAAATCACCTAAGTTAACAGTCCCAAAAGGTGAAGCCAATTGTGATTGGGATTTTAAAGATGATTGCCTTTTGCTTGACACCATATGAGCTTTGGATTTTGATGAGGATCCATATTTTGGTAGAGGAAAAGATGATTTTGATGGCACTGGTGATCCACATGTCAACCTTGTATGACCACTTTCCTTGCACCGACTACATGTCGATCTCTTCTTCTCTTCACCCTTAGACGGTATACGATCGTGACTTTTTGGTCGGCCAGGTAGCCTTCTGTCCATGGCTGGTAGCAAAACTATTTGTAAGTCATCTGGTATGTCCCACTCAGAAGGATGTGGAATAGGGTAGACAATCTCGGCATAAGTCTGTCGATAAACTTCTGTAGTGTAGCAATCCATAGCGTATGCGCTTGAATCATCTTGGTTTAAATGAAGAGCAACTTTTATAACATGGCCACACGGATAACCAGATGTTTGCCATTTCATACAACTACACGTCTTTGCATTTAGATCGACTAGCCCATTTAAGTTATTATCCAGTACTTGAAACAAAGTGTTTGAACATGGTTCAACTCTCCATGACGTTGACTTCACAACACGTTTCGTTATCTTTTTTTCAGTCCATGGTGTAACACGATGTTCCAATGTTCCTGTAAATTTAAATAAACAATACTTAGTAAAATATATAAATATGATAAGTTACGAATTCAAAGAAATAATACCTGCATGGTTTCTTTTCTTGTAGTACCACTGTTGAATAGAGGCTCGAAAAAACTCCATTAACATAGTAATGGGTAATTTCCGGGAATGACGACTTAGAGCGTTGATTGATTCTGCACTATTAGACGTCATGAAACCATATCTTGCTCCAAGTTGATGTACTCTTGACCATCTTTCAAACCCGACATCTTCTAGTGTTTGAGCACACTGAGGCAAAACACGTCTTAAACAATTTATATGCTTATTGAAATCCACTTCCCGATAAGCTTTTACAGCCTTCCAGTATGTCCATTTGTGCTTTTTTATACCAGCAGACCTTGATTTTAGATTTCTATACAAATGAACACCACAAAGTCCATGAAAAGCATCTGGGAAACACCTTCTAACAGCGTTGTCAATTGAGTTTGCCCTATCGGATATGATTGTCAGATTGCTAATAGGACCTATGCAATCCCTAAGATGCCCCATAAACCATGTCCATGAATCAGAGGTTTCAGATTTGCCAACCCCGTAAGCTATTGGCAATATCCCATTGTTAGCATCCATGGCTACTGCTAATAAGTTTACTCCAAGGTATCGACCTTTCAAATGTGCTCCGTCAACTATAATAACTGGGCGCATGCAAGTAATAAACGAACGAATCTACAAAATAATATACACAAGAAATATAATCATTTAAATGTGAAATGCATGTAACTAACAAAAGTGAGTCAACAAAATTTATTGATTTACTAACCGTAGCACCAATGGCGATAAACAGCAACTCAAAGTGTCCATCTCTATCTGTTTTGATATGAGTTACCGACCCAGGATTTTTCAGCTTTAAATTGTGACAATAAGCCGGCAGTTGGGCAAACGATGCTTCTGGCGACCCCCTCAACAATTCCAAGGCATAACATTTGGCTCTCCAAGCTTGAGAATATGATATACTAATCTTGAACCGAGCATTCATGTCAGTCATAATTTCATGTCCCCGATATACCCTGCCATTCAAAACATTAACTCAGCCAGAAAACCACCCAACACCTTTTTGTTTGCCTGTCTATGGTGAGGAAAAACTTGGGTTCTTGAACATGTATGTTTATCAATAAAAGTCCTAACTTGAAACATTTCGCAATCTTTTATTCTCTTTGCAATCATACGCCACGTACAGTTTTTGTCAATCATACACCTTGTTTCGAAACGATCTTTGCTTGATTTGTTAACTTTTAGTTGATAGCCATCTTCCACACATTTCGTATACAAAGCTATCTTCAAGTCTTCCTTTGTATCAAAACAATCATCTTTCTTGATACGAATAACTTTTGTGTAACAATCAACTGCTTTCTTTACCAACTCTTCTTCCGGTATCTGAAGTAATTCTGGCATATTCCAGTTATACGCCCGTGGCATTTTCTTTTCTTCGGGGACTTTTTCTTCTTTTTTTCTTCTTCAGGATTATATGAATTACAGAATGGATGTTCAACATGTTCATTCACAGTCGTAACTTCCTCCTCATTATCATCAACAATACATTCTTCGGCAACGGCTGTTTCATCATCAAAATTCGGGTATTGACCAATATCAAAATCATTACACGCAGGGTCTGTTTCTTCTTCTGAAACATCATCAAAATCCGTGTATTGACCAATATCAAAGTCCGGATATTGACCAAGACCAAATTTCGAATACTGACTAGTACTCACAATTTTTTCTGTTGGCTCATCATCGTCTAACTGGTCAATACGAAAACCGGAATTTGGTGCTGAAAGTTGATTGGGATTTGGATTAGAGAAAGGTTGTGGGTTTTGAGAAAAACTTAGTTGATTACTACCCGCTACTGACCCAACAATACTACTTCTAGGTTCAACAACATACAATGTAACATCATCTTGTGAAACACTAATGTAAGCAATGAATCGTTCAACATCTTCATTGTCGGTTAACAAATAAACTTTACCATTTCTCTGATAAGATAGCCTAAATCCACTTAGGGGCTCTAAATTCAATTTATTTGAAACACGTAGCATTAGAGTTTCATAAGTTAACTTTTGTAAAGACAATTTTAGTTGAAGATTCATGGGTAAAGGCATATATTGTAAAACACCATGAACATTATCCCATGACCCTCCAAAACACAAATCTATCCAAACATGATCAACATTAGATGATTTCATGGTTGTAAATTAATTTACTAAACAGACGAGCTGCGAAACTAAAACCTGTTGCCGGATTGGGAAGGATGTCGTTGGATATAGGAACGGATGTCGCCGGAGAGAGTGATAGATGGAGATGGAATGAGTTGCGATTTAGGGATTTAGTTTATGATTTGCTGCTGTTGCGTAGTTATATACCCAAAATTTCAGTGTTGTGAATTACAGATTCTCGTTGCGATTTACGGATTATCGTTGCGATTTACAGATTCTCGTTGCGATTTACGGATTATCGTTGCGATTTACGGATACGCGTTGCGATATACGGATACGCATTGCGATTGACGGATACGCGTTGCGATTTACGGATACACGTTGCGGTTTACGGATACGCGTTGCGATTTATGTGTTCGCGTTGCGATTTTCATATTCGCGTTGCGATTCTTGAAAATCGCAATGCGAATTTGTACTATCGCATTGCGATTTTCAAGAATCGCATTGCGATTTTGGAAACTGATTTGCGATTCTGGGGATCGCGTTGCGATTTTTATTTCGCGTTGCGATTTTGTTGGTCATTTTGGCAAATCCAAAAAAAGTTGGTTAAAATCGTATATTATAAGGCATTTTTGGTCACTGAGGCGATTTTCTCTTTTTTGGAAAGCGTCCTTTATAAGTAGGGATGAATATGAAATCCGAACTCAACGGGTTTCGATCTGACTCGATTCGATTGGGTTAATTTTTTTTAAAAAAATTGAATTTGGGTTGGATTGAGTTTAGGGTGAAAAGTACCCGACAAACCCAAAAAAAATAATTTTATCTTATATATTTAGGAATAATTACAATAATACTCTTTATTTTTTTTTAATTAATTCACTGTTTTTATTGAATAAAAATAATATTTTTATTATTTCGGGTCCGGTCGGGTGTGGTAGGGTTTTTAATAGGGATGGGCATGGGCCAGGTCAGGTCGTTTTTTTAATGTGATGTTCGGGTCGGGTTAGATTCAGGCTTAGGGTGAAAAATACCAGACCCAACCCGACCTAAAAAAATATATAATTTTACCTTATATATTTAAGAATAATTACAATAATACTCTTTTATATATTATTTTTTCAATAAAGTCACTATTTTTATTAAATAAAAATATATTTTTTTATTTCGGTCGAATCGAATTTTTAAATTATATATCAGGTCGAGTCAGATCTCAGGTGGAAGACTCATTATTCTCAGATCGGGTGAAATCTTATTTTATGCGAGTCGGATATCGGATGAAGAAATCATTACTATCGAGTCGGATACAATAAACTAAAAACCCGACCCATGCCATCCCTATTTATAAGTGCTCCACAAAATACTAACCTAGAAAATAGGTTATGGTCGTGATATTTTCTTCACTTCCTCACCTAAAAAGATTGGATTTCTTGATACCCAAAGCTCGGCCGTATTTCTCTGCCGTTGACGATAAGATGAATATTAACCCATTAAAAAAAAGCGAAGAAAATGAATAAAAACCCAGAGGAAGATCGTGGTCAAACGAACAACGTCGTCATCAGCCAACTTCAGATAAGATCTTCAGCTGAAGCACTCGGGGAAGAGGTTGTTCTTAGGCGCGAATCCTCAATCATAAGTGCAAAAACAGGTTCAGGACTACTTTCACTTGCCATAGATAGAGGAAGAAGAAAAAACCCCAGAAATTCATGAGATCTGTAGATAGGTAGGTCGAATAGTTATCAGTTAATGTGGTTGTAAATTGAGTTTGAAAATATTAGTCCGATTCTAATCCACCACCGTATGAGCATTCAAAGATAATTTAAGAAGAAAAAACTAATTGTTTCACAAAAATATCTAAATAAAATTAAATACACATGAAATTTCATGATTTCGGGGCATCAGCCGCCAAAATTCCATTAACAATAGAAGTAGCCACGACAACGCCGAGAATCTCGGCTCCCGCCACGGTACCGGCCTGAGCCAACGCGCCGAAACTAACGGCACTTTCAATCTCCTTTTCAGCCGTCTTCAACTCTTTCTCCACCGTAAAGATCTCTATCCCCGCCGTCACCACCCCTTTCTCCGCCGTCTCGAGTCCTTCTTTCACGATCTCCACCGCTTCCTCCTCCGCTTTCTTCAGCTTCTTCCTAAAACCGAACAACGGAATGTCCTCCGCATTCGATTTCTTCTCTGTAACATTCAATGCCGTCGTCGTAGTCAGGAAGAACAGAAGTTGCCTCCGGTTCGAAAGAGAAACCGCCGGCGCAGGTTTGCTAACGTACGCCTTGACGGATCGGCCACGGCTCGAAGTTTGCGCACAGTGAACTGAGAGAGAGTGGAGCATAGGTGGCGAAGTTGTGGAAGCCATCTCTGCTCTTCTTCACAATCTGATCCTTAGGAAATAAAAATGCGTGACGCTCAATAAATTAAAAAAACAAATAAAATCTTTTTATTTCAATTACGGGAATACCCTTCATCTCTTTATTTTCTCGAAACGCCGTCGTTTATGCTTTGGTCTTCCGTTCCAAATCCCCAATATGTGATTTTCCTATATAAATGGTTTTCAAATGAACTGAAAGCGAAACCCCAAAACTTATTTTCAATCTTCCAGTTTTTCGCGCTTCTGGGCAAATTATTGAAGCAAAGAAGTGATGGCTGAAGAATATAAGGCGGAGGCGGCGGAATCAGAAGCGTCGGTGACAATGACGGAGCAAGCTCCAAACCCTGGAATAGCTGAAACCCTAGATACACATGGCTCAGTCGAAGCCACTATTAACTTTGCGGTTCCAGGAGGCAGCGAGTCGACATGCAACAATAATAGTAATGGTGAAAGCTGTGTAGTTGCTTCGGATGTTGGTCGAGAGAAGACGCTGGAGTTCGCAGACGAGTTGACAGAGAACGGATCGAAGGCTTTTAAAAAAGATGATTTCGCTGAAGCTGCTGATTGCTTTAGTCGCGCCCTTGAAATCAGGTTAAACTTGAGCTTCAATTCTTTTTCATCTCTTTTATTTTTTCATAAATATTTCCCTATGAATTTATGTTGAGAACAGATAATGTCTTGCTAGTAGGACCTATGTCTTCAGGTCAGAGCTGGGGCTTGATTTTACAAAATTATTTTAATTCTCTTTCAAGGTCTTTCAAGGTTTAAGAACAGAGTATTGAACTTATTGAATGAAATTGTGATATTATATTTTAATATGTGAAATAATTATGTTTGATTAACATCTTTTGATGAAGTAAAATTCAATCGGAAAATGCTGCAACCTTAGGGAGGTTTCTAGAATTTCAATAAGTAGCCTAATTAACTTGTTATGTTTCAATATTTTTCTTCTTTTGTTGGTAAAATATATTACTTAATACTAGGGTTGCGCATCATGGTGAACTTGCAATTGAATGTCTCAAGGCCTACTATCTCTATGGGCGTGCGCTGTTGTACAAGGCTCAAGAGGAAGCTGATCCGTTGGTTTCTGTACCAAAGGAGTGTGAGGCTCAGCAAGAGACCAAGAAAGAAGGTGCTTTAAATCGTGAAACTTCATTTGCCTCTGTATCAAGCAATTCCGAACAAGATGGTGGTAGGTTTTCCTAAAGGGATTCTTGTATTCTAGTTCAATTGAGCTTAGGTAGTTGAGTGTAGTTGAATCTTTTTCAATGTCTTGAATCTTGATTTATTTGCTATTTCTTACATATGGTACGGAAGTGTCAATTAGATTAGACTCATATTCAAATTTTCATTCAAAGTGTTGTCAGTTATAGATAGTAGCTGCTTTACAATTAATATTTGTTGCTTATGGTACATATGTTAGCCATAAGAATAGAATGTCAACTGTTCTTTATTTTGTTGTGTTCCAGGTGGAAAAGGTGAGGAGGAGGAGGAAGAAGATGATGATAGTGACGGTGATGATGCGGCTGAAGCAGATGAGGACGCAGATGAATCTGACCTGGATTTGGCATGGAAAATGCTAGATGTTGCCAGGGCAATTGCTGAAAAGCAACAGTTGGGTGACACCATGGAGAAAGTGGATATTCTATCAACCTTGGCTGAAGTTGCCTTGGAAAGAGGTCAGTATCTAACTATTCGTTGTAGTTAGTTGCAATACTTGTTTTGGTTATGTGGGGAATGGGAGGAAGTGGGGAACCCTCTCTACCAATTTGATTGTAGCTTTTTCTTGAAGCATCTTGTTTTGCCAAAAACATAAATTTGTTTCTAATATGCTTCTTTAGAGGACATCGAATCTTCACTTGGTGACTACCAGAAAGCTCTATCCATTTTGCAACGGCTGGTTGAACCAGATCACCGTCAAATAGCTGAACTGTATCCTTTATAGGGTTGAAACTTGAAATATCTATATCATTTAGATTATTATTCTTTACGTAGTACGGAATCCTAGGTTCAAATAAGTAGTGTGGTACAAATGTATGATGATCAGTGAATGCATACTAAACGGGAAAAGAAATTTGGATCCACCTATTCCATCCTTCAATTTCATTCAAATTCTACATATGCTACTTAACCCTTCAATTTAGAAATTTCCGAATATGTATGTGTTTGGAAATTGGCTCAAAGCCCCAAGAAGCAGTTCCATACTGTCAGAAAGCCATCTCAGTTTGCAAGTCTCGGCTGGAGCGACTCAGAAATGAAGTAAACGAATCATCAGGATCAGCATCATCTGCAGCTGCTTCTGAATTGGATGATGGTATACAACAGTCCTCAAATGGCTCGCAGAATGTTAAATCTGTCAAAGATAAAGAAGCAGAGATTGAAACACTTGCTGGACTTGCCGAAGACCTGGAAAAGAAGGCAATTGCAAATTTGATAGTGTCTTTTAATTAAAACCTTACTGTATAGCTTTATTTATTCCATCCATTTCTGCATTGCAGCTTGAAGATCTACAACAGCTGGTCTCCAACCCAAAGTCGATTATTGCAGAACTTCTGGGAATGGCATCTGCCAGGGCAAGTGTTGATGATAAGAGTGCACCTCCTGCTGTGCCGAGCTCTTCACAGATGGCTACTGCTAACAGTGAGGGTCATTTTGATTCTCCAACCGTTTCAACTGCTAATACAAACGGGGGGCCTGCCGTCACACATCTTGGCATTGTAGGACGAGGAGTGAAGCGTGTTTTGACAAGTACAGGAGCGGCAGAATCGAACCCAATAAAGAAACCTGCAATTGAGCCATCATCCGACAAAGGAAATGGCAGCAGTGCTACTTGATGTTTGTGATCCTAATTTCCGTCCATGCATGCTTTCATTGTTCGAAGTACAAATTAGTAGTCACCGTGGTATGCTATTCGAATCGCAGTTCGCTAATGCTTGATGTTAACAGATTCTTTCCTAGCTACTAAACTTAATTATGCTCTATGCAATAGTAAGCTAAAGTTTACGTTCCTTTGTTCAATCTTGTGACGCTCTTATAACGGGTTTACATTCGCAGAGATTTCATTTTATTTACTTATAATCCATTAAAACGATCGACATAAAATAAATAATCAAAGGATCGGTTTAATATCTCGAAGCACAAACTTGTCCCTTTCCTTCAACATAGTCAAAGACTCAAATTCCGGAATACAGTTATGGATCCATAAATTCGGCTCACATTCCCTTTTTAAAACTTTAAACTAAATCGAAGCGTAAAATTGCGAACTTTTTGAAGCAATCGGATAAGGTTATAGTCTAAGCTAATTATCAAACAAACACGAGTGGTACTAAATAGCCCGTCTCCCATCCTCGTCTTAAATGTTTTTGTCTACCCTACAATATCCTCATTGTTGAATAATTCTCATTTGTTTAAGTCAGATCTGCGAGAAAGAAAGGGGAAAAGGGGTGAGAAATGGGGAGAATGCAACAGTATTTGGCTATGAAAACCGATCCCGTTGCTCAAGAAATGATCAGTTCTGATATCAATGATCTCAAGCTGGCTGCTATGAAATTGATCGATGATGTAACTAAACTTGGAGGCCTGGGTTTTGGAACTTATTTTCTCAAATGGGTCGCCTCTTTTTCTGCTATGCAAGTTCTCTTCTTTCACCTTCGTTCAACAATGGGCTTTGTTTTTTTTGCTTTGCTTGGTTGTAAAATTTCTCAAGATTTTCTGGCGGTTTGGATTTTTTGGGATACGCATTAGATGTGTTTGCTTGTATTTTCGTGTGGTTATAATCCCTGGATGGAACGGAGTTTTGTATCTAATAAACAAGAAAGGGTTTTCCCCTTGAATATGAAACTTGTTGTTGCATTTATGTCTGAAATTTTCTGAACTGTTTTACTTTTGAAAGTTTGATAAGTGAGCTGATGAATCCGTACTTCGATGAGTGTCGGATATAAGTTTGTGTTGGATAAAGCAATCATACACTATTCCGATCAGGGGACTTATTGTTCGAATGCAAAAATGTTTACAAATGATTTGACAACTTTGTTTCCAATGCAAATAATGGGAAATGTAGTTTGATGAAATTCACTTAATGAACAACATCTTGTGTCTTAGGAATATGACTCGCAGAATTTATCTGCTACTTGATGATGATTATGAGTTCATTCTACCTTCTTAATTTGTCTAAGAGCCTCTGTGCTTTTTGCCTCAGTCTCGGTTGTCAGTGTCAATATGAGTGTGTATTCGACACAAATATGTTAAATTCTATTTTCTATGTTTTTCAATGTATTTGGATGATCTTTGAAAGGTCATATATTTGGTAGTCAGAAAAGGGTGCTTTACCGAAAATGAGAAGTCGGAATTTCAAAGTTTGTCTAGGTTGCTGAAGAATACTTTTGAAACTTGTGAAATTTTCAAAAAGATTAAAAAGCTCCTTCTGTGAGTTCTTTGAAACGACTATGCTTCATTTGTAGCCTAATTCTCCATTTTTGCTGTGGGAATTGAACTTCATGAGGTTTATAAAACCACATTTATTTTTGTTTGCGTATATGTATAACAAGGATTGTTTGCAGTAAATACTTATTCTGTATGATCTGTGCAGTTATTTGTTAATCCTGGACCGAACAAACTGGAGAACAAACATGTTGACATCACTTCTGGTACCTTATATCTTCTTGAGTTTCCCTTCAGGATTGTTCGACTTTCTCAGGTGACAATCTTTTCCATTTCTTTCATCCAAGTTGTCTTTTTTCTTCTTCTTTATATTGTGTTTTGCTCGAATATCGTTCATTGAATAGCTATTTCAATATGTTCAGGGGAGATGTTGGAAAATGGATTGCATTCATCGCTGTCGTTCTGAGACTGTTCTTCCCTAGGCACTTTACAGGTTTATGCTCAATCTAAATTACCTTTTGAACGCAGTAAAGACATGAAGAGTTCAGATAACATAACAAGATATAAGTGATACTTCACTGCTGGTATTTGTAGACTACACATGTTTCTCAATTTGAACACGAACTTGAACCCGAATTGTCCTTGTTACTTGGTTACTTTTTCTGATACCGTAAAAATTGTGAGTTGCAGATTGGTTGGAGATGCCAGGATCATTGATACTTTTACTAGTGGTGGCTCCAAATTTCTTTGCGGTCACCTTGAAGGGCAGCTGGGTTGGCGTTTTAATATGCCTCCTAATTGGATGTTACCTGCTACAAGAACACATTCGAGCATCGGGTGGATTCCGGAATTCCTTCACTCAGAGTAACGGCATATCAAACACCATCGGCATTATCCTTCTGTTAGTGTACCCCATCTGGGCACTTGTGCTCCGCTTAGTCTAGCCGGAAGCCGAACAGACTCGGTGCTGAATCATTGCTGCCTTTGCGAAAACTTGAATAAAAACTTGTGCTGTTTTTAAAAATTTTCATATGCTGAAGCCTTCGTCAAGAGTGGATTGGGATTCATGTGATATTAGTGAATGAACGAACCAATAAACTAGCAATAATTTCATTTCTTTTGTATATTTTCCCATGGCTGAGCCTACTGCCTTCACTGTCAAAGTTGAGTGTGTCGACGGAAATGCACCCCAAAAGTTAAGAAGAACCAACCTAATGACCTGTTTAACCTACACGCTCAATGTGTAGCTCGATTTCATCGAGAGACATTCCGAAGTATCCATTGATGGAAATGCCAAATTCGAAGAGAAAAATGGGGTTGAGATTACACTACTGTGAAAGTTAAGCTACCCGGTGGTGAACCCGTGCCTTCAAAGAAATCCGAGATCTTTGGTGGAGACTTCCTCGTGCTGTCATACGCCATTTTTGGAACAAACAGGAAGGGGTGGTTCAACCGGTTACGGCAACGATGTGGTGTTGCCTGCCGGTGGAAGAGGAGGTGAGGAAGAATTAGCCAAGGAAAACAACGAGTGCTGCATTGTCATCAGGGGAAATACTCTTGAGTGTACAACAAGAGTTGTCATTTTGTATGGGATTGCAACTGCGTGCCGTCCTGGTTTGGATTATTGCATTAAACTAATGTGATACTAATAAAAAGTTCCTAATAGAAATTGAAGTATAATCCAGAAAAAAAAATGATGCGATTAGTATAATCATTTAAGATTAAAGCTAAAGACAAAGGCCACTTAGATTTTTATTTCAAAAAAATATGTCATTTTCGAATCTAAAACTCACATACTCGTGAGCAACAACGATTTCACCTTTTCCGTTAACTTCAAACTAGACATTGAGGTACTCCTGTTTTAGTTATCTATGGCAATTTCTTTCTCTTCTCAACAATTGCAATCCTTGCAAGTTCTGTTTTTCATTCTCATCTATGTTTTTGCTTCCTATATCAGAACTCAGCCCTCACTCGTCGATGGGGCCGACTTTTGATGCTCAGAATCATCGGTCCCGTGCTCAACATATGCTACCTTTTTTGCTCAAGAACAGGACTTTTTGGACCTTCGGAACATAGCTGATTTGTTCAGAACCAGCCGTCAAGAGATTGCAATTGCTAGCAACTTGGTATCCGAAGATACTCGGTTGTTCCCAGGCCAACTGTTGTTGGTCCCTATAACCTGTGGCTGCACCATGAACCATTATTTTGCCAATGTTACATATGATATAGTGCTTGGTGACACATATTACATAGTTTCGACTACGGTTTTCGAGTGTCTCAGCAATTTTACTGCAGTGGAGCAAATGAATCCTTCTCTCGAGGCGAAAAATTTGCACGCCGGTGATGAAGTCGTGTTTCCTTTGTTCTGCAAGTGCCCTTTGAAAGCTGAATTGGATCACGGAACCGTGTACTTTATTAGCTATGTATGGCAACCAAAAGACAGTATTTGGAGTGTAAGTGCCATGTTCAATGCATCAGCAGCAGTTATCATTGATGAAAATAAGTTAAACGGTTACCCCGAGATTAGCTCGGCAGTGATTCCCCCACTGATGATCCCTGTGTCGGACTTGCCGGTTCTTTCGCGAATTCACCTCTCTCGAGGAAGCAAATCCAAAGGGATCCTCATAGTTGTTTTAAGCATAGTAGGCTGTTTGCTTATTTTAGCAGGTGTGTTTGTACATGAGAGAAAGATCTTTAAGCACAAAAGTTCGTCTCTGGAGACAGTTGGTTTGATTCCGGCGAAGGATCTTACGAAAAGTGAGAGTTTCCGGCCAAAGATCGTGCAAGATAAGCTGCTTCCTGGAGTTTCAGGGTACTTAGGCAAGCCTATCATGTATGACGCTTATGTGATTATGATGGCAACCATGAACCTTAATGAACATAGCAAAATCAGAGGCTCGGTGTACAGGGCCACCATTGATGAGAAACTGTTAGCCATAAAGAAAACAAAGGATGATATCACAAATGAACTCAAGATTTTGCAGAAAGTAAATCATGCAAATCTGGTGAAGTTAATGGGCGTCTCAGCTGATTCAGAGGGAAACTGCTTCTTGGTTTATGAATATGCTGAAAATGGATCACTCGATAAGTGGTTGCATCCGAAAAGTACGTGTTCTTCGAGCTGTGTCGTGGTTCTCACCTGGAGTCAAAGGTTACATGTAGCACTGGATGTTACCAATGGCCTGCAATACATGCACGAGCACACTCGACCTAACATCGTCCACCAGGATATCAGATCGAACAATATACTTCTCGATTCCATGTTTAAGTCCAAGATTGCAAATTTTTTCGGTTGCCGAAAATGGATGTTTTTGCATTTGGGGTTGTTCTGTTAGAGTTGCTTTCAGGTAAGAAAGCAATGGCAACAAAAGAGAATGGTGAAATTTTCATGCTATGGAAGAATGTAAGGGAAGTTTTGGAAATTGAAGAGAAAAGGGAAAGAAGGCTAAGCAAATGGATGGATCCAAACTTGGAGAGCTTTTATCCCATTGACAGTGCTCTAAGCTTGGCAGTATTGGCCATGGCATGCACTCAAGAGGATCCTCTGGCTAGGCCAAGTATGGCCGAAATCGTCTTTAACCTTTCCGTTCTAATTC